CCTTCCTCGCGTTACTGATCAATGGAAGCGCAAGAAAGGAGGAAAACAATCACTGGAGCGCACAGCATCCAGCCCCTCCTCAACCTGCCGCCTGCAGCCACTCAGCATCCAACACACCAACCTGTAGAGCCTCGAGTTATTTATAGCATATTCTGTGGAAACGTGTGAAAATGCTGCTCCGGCTCAGTCGATGTTTGCAGCTTGTAAATCCCCCCACTTTATGTTTGTCTGGAGCAAACGCCTCCTCGCAGCTTTCCACCGGGACTCCGGTGCCGTGAACGTGGAGTGAGATCGTTAGGTGCAGTATTCCTTCTGTCTTTATCCACACGCTGATAGGCACAGGAGGGGGCAGCATCTGATTACAGCACATGTGGACAGCGCAGTCGCCTCTGATGCCAGGTCGGCCTGATGCAAAATGAATGACGTCACGGTAACGTGACGCACAGTAATCTCTAGTGGAGACCCCGTCATGAAACTTTGTGTTTGTGCCTCCGTGTGGACTGAGTGTGCACCTGCAGCACGACGTTTCACGTGAATGTGACAGTAAAGTCAACTCGACATGCAGCAAGTGTTTGCTGCGTGTAAGTGACGTTAGAGGATGTCAGAGGTGCTTTTTACAGCACGGACTGCATCTCTGCAACGGACTCGGGGATTGCTTCAGAAGTGCCTTTAAATCTTTTCCACGTCGTGTTGACTCTTATTCTGGCTCAGCTGGTTTCTGCTCTGAGAGCTGCCTGAATTACACGCGTGGGAGTGTGCACCTTCACAAATAAGCCGCCATTAGTAACGACCTTGGCTCGCTCTTTTGTCCGTGGCGTGTAACAGGTGGCAGGATGGGCCTGCCGTTCATGTCAGGGTCAAAGCTTCCTGTCTGCTCCTGCTAGCATGATAAGTACTGGCACGAAAGAGAAGCCACGTATGTGGAGCTGATCTCTTCCCAAAGTCATCATCAATATTGTTACACCAGTACTAACAGAAAGATGACTCTTCATGGGCCTCGGGGGCTTGGGTCCTGGTTGGTGTGTTGCCGGGGTTGTGGGTGGGTGGGTGCATGGGGGCCCAGCCCTGGAGCAGGGTGCCGCCGGTGCATCGAGCCACCTGGGGGGCTCTTCAACTGGTGGGGGAGATTGTCACATCTTGCAGGAACTTTCCTCTCTTCAGGAGCTCTCTCTGCAGGAGGGGGAGATACAGGAGAGGTGGAGGAAGATCTCAGCCTGGG